GCTTGTTTGTAGCGAGACCTCCGGGCAAATCCTTAAATGCAGTGGGGTGACACAGCTCAAGGAAGCACATTTATGATCATTACTTTATCATTTCCTCGAAGTAATAATCATCATCTTAATCATTTTGCACTGCAGACGCGGTAGTTCTTCTGCCTTAGCATCTCGATCTGATTGCATTTCCATGAGGAAATGATCATACATGTTCTTCCTTGAGCTGCGTCATCCCACTGCAGTCAATGGACTCAATCGGAGGTCCCAAACAAGCGGCTGCTGGAAGAGAGACGGTAAGTTGTGTTTAGTCTCTTTGCTAAAGAAATCAGGCAAAGCTAAAAAGATGTTTGGTGGCTAGTTCTATGGCTAGGACCCTATATGTACTGTTGATGAAGTTAGGTGCTGTTTTGAGCATTATTTGTGGCTATAGAGCAACATTTTGGTTGAGCACATGGCTCTCTGCATTCTATCATGTGGTCGTTACTAAAGTTGGTATAACTAGAGAAGCAAGCGGTTGGCAACATTAATCTCTTGCGGGGTGTCTAACTCAGTGTTACGGTGTGTTTGACCCTAACTTAAATTTACACCAGAATATTGCTTTAAAATACTTTTTGAATATTTTTCTTTTTTAATTATTCAAATGCAGCATGAGGAAATAAAGAGGAAAAACAGCCATATGCTGCGTGCTGCTTATTTGCAACATAAGCCTCCATCACACATGACTCAGACATCCACCTGACTGAGTCCCAGGCCTCTCTTCTGTGTCTCTGTGGGTTTTGTAACCAAGAGCCAGTCAGGCCTTGTGGCCGTGTGGAAGACAACTGAGGGCATCTGTTGTGTGTGTGTGTGTTTGTGCATTTGTGTGTTTCTCTCTCTTGGTGCCCTGCCACAAAACTCCGCTGCCAGAACACCCAAGGGTACCCATGTGCACCACCCTGCGCCTGGGGGCTGGCTCGCCGAAGCACCTTTATTGCCTTCTGGCTCTGCTTGTGTGTCACCGAATATGAGGCACAATAGCGGCTGTGTTTGAAAAGGGCTTTGTTGAAAGCAGGATCATTACACAACCGCGCCATTAACCTTAATTGGAGCCGCTTGGTGGAACAGAGAAAAACTTTCAGAACAGTGAGACAGAAATGTTGTTCCCCTGAGCTCTGTAAAACCGGCAGGGATAGAGAGAAAGAGGCAGAGATGATTGAATTGCAGAATACTTTCTTTCCTGTCAAAGCTTGCAGTAAAAAGTAAGTAAAGAATCTGGTTTTTATTTGCTTTGAAGGAACATCAAGACAATAAAACACAGACAGTATTTATATCTCTCTTTCAACAGTTTACAGAACTTCCTCTCTAAATCTGTTATCCTACACTCATGTTAATCTCCATGGAGATGGGATTGGAAAAGAAGATTATTGAGGCAGCAGGATTAACTTGGGCAGCAGGTCACTATATTTTGCAACCAGCAGCGCGTCCATAACTTATTTGGATTTTAAAGTATGTCAAAAAATGTCCCCGTGGTTAATCTTCCACACAGCGTTGGTAGGGCACTGACTTTCCGTTGGTTTTTCTTCTCGACAAATAGCTGAGGACATGAGATACAGACTGGAAAACGCCAAAAACATCTCAAACTGGCTTGTAGTGAGTGTCACAAAAGGAGCAAACACTAATCACTTATTCAGCTCAAACAGAAACAGAGTCGGGTGTATTTTCAGCGGGTTTCCCCCCACTCTTGAAAAAGTTTGTGAATGTCAAACGCTTTCAACATCAGCCTGACAGATTGTGGAAACGCTCGGTGCTGACTGCAGAGTGTAAACATGGGATGATTCATTTCTGTCAACAGGCAAAACAAGCAAGCGGGGCAGGAAATGTGGCGTTCTGTTGCTCTGGTTTTGGCTCAAACCAGTAATGACTCTAGTAACTGCAATTTTCTAAGTTTAGAGATCCCGTCAGAAATAGAAATAGCAATGCACTTTCCTTGGGAAGTGTTGTTTGTGCTGTGAAGTCGCTGCTCCTGCTGCCAGGTTTTTGACTCAGCAGCCCTTTAATTAGTCAAAGTGAAAGTTACAAAGATAGAAACAGCTGAAACTAATTAAAGTGAACAGAAGGGAAAACTTCGTAACTTAAATATATATTTGTTGTGCTATATCCTCATTTTTACAGCCCTCACCTGACAAAAACAATTGAACTAGTGAGCCTGTGGATCATAAGATAAATAAAAAAACCAAAACAGATTTTTTTTGAAACCTTTACTCACGTCTCACACTACGATGTTAGGTGTTTGATCTTCTACTCCTTTTTTTTTTTAAACATAAATCTGTTAAATTTATGGGCCTTGACACTGCTCATTAATCACCCTCTTCAGCAGCACCAATAATTGGGTTTCCAGGATTTGGAAATAAAGCTGTTAAGCCATTAATGAAACTAATTCAGGGGATATTACACCCTCTTATTATGTGCAAACACATAACACACACAAGTTAGTAAGTGATTCATTCCAAGTCTCTCAAATAAGAAAAAGCAAGAGAGATGCAGGAGACTGATACGCACCAACCACGGAATGGTGATCCCATAGATGGCCATCTTCAAACCAGTTTAACTCACTTTTGTCTTTATAGCACTTTTAATGCAAATGTAAACCCAACGTACTCTACAGATAATTTAAAAACAAACAAACAACACTTTAAAATTATTGAATTAGTTTAGGAGCACATATGAAACTCATAACACAGTATGAATTATTATGCAACACACTTACACAGAAACAAGTCCATGCACACCTAATCATTTTTCTTTATTCTCATTGGTCTCCATCTTTGTCGATGTATTTTGATTTTATTGCATATACTGTTCTTATTGCATGTTTTTAATTTGATACTATATACACGGGTTGCAAATTAGCTCGAGCTAGAGAACTGGATGCATGGTATCTACTTTGTTTACACTATAAAGCGTTGGCTCATGAATTATCTCTGTCAAGTAAATAATTAAATGAAATAATAAATGCAATGTTTCTCCCTCTGTAATTTATGTTTCAACTCACATCAGTACTTTAACTGAACTGAGCTTAGACCTGCAAGAACAGATGGGCTCATGTTTGGCAGCAGCTATTTTCCAGGTGTAATGTGATAGCAGTATGACTCATGTAATGGAACTGTACTGTACTGCGTCCATCCCTGTTACTTCCTCACTATCACCACTAGAGGTCAGACTGACAGGAAAGGAAAGGGAGCCACTCTTTTTTTTCTCTCTTGCATTCTCCATTTGTTACAGTAGAATGGTTGTGTGTCTCTTTACTAGAAAAATGGGACAGTTTCTGACAGCTTTCCTGAATTTGGTTGGCTTCTTAGAGCGCTCAAAGTCATTTACTGCCTTTAGATTTGCTGCATGTTTCAGCTCAGGCAACAAAATTTGTGTTCTCACGAATAAAATAACTTACAGATCGAGTTGAGCTACGACCCATGACTTTAAATTTCCACCATGTGCAAAGGATAGAGAGGGCAGTGAGCACCCTGACACATATGTTTTACACATGCAGGGATGTTACTCTGTTATACACTACAGGTCAAAAGTTTGGAAGCAAGATCAGACTTGTACAAAAAAAGATCATAGTTTCATATATATAGTTTGCAACACAATTAACATGACTATTGTGTGAAGAGTTCCACAAGTTTTTTAAGGTATGTTCCAGGGATTGCATTCCAAGCTTTCTTGAGTTCATTTAAAAGAGACTGCTAATTCGTAGGATGCGTTTTTCTGACCGATTGATCCAATTCATCCCGCACAAGCTCAGTTGTAGAAAGGTCTGGAGACTGAGGGGGCCAAACCATTTTGAAGAACACCTTCCTCTTCTTTTTTGTCTAGGTAACCCTGACAGAGCTTGGCAGAGTGCTTAGGGTCATTGTCTTGCTGCAAAACAAACTTATGAGCCACAAGTCTGAGTCCAGATGGAGCAGCATGGTGCTGGAGGATGGAGTGGTACTGTTCCTTCTTCATGATACCCTTTACGTCAAACAAATCTTCTACTCTATCACCTGCAAAACATCCCCATACCATGGAACAACCACCTCCTTGCTGAATTGTGGGTGTAACACATGGTGCTTTCAGACGTTCACCAGTTTGTCTGCGGAACCAAACAGTGCAAACTTGTTTCTAGTCATCGTAAGTCCAATTTTTGTTAGATTTTACCCACTCATATCTCTTTTTCTTGTTCTGTGGAGGAAGTAGAGTTTTTTTGCAGATACACAACCCTTCAGACCAGCCTTCAAACCCTAAAACTAAGCCCTTCTTATCTTTTGCTGGTATATATTTAGCAATGGTCTCTTAACATCAATGTATATCTAAAGGTAAATGGAGTAAAATGGTGTATTTCCATGAAAACACTGATCACGGAGTAAATACATCCCAAAATACATAAAACTCATGCTGGATTTAAAAAAAAAATGTGAACAAAAACTTGAAGTTACTCCCAGCTGTTCGGCCTGTAATGGCCTTGCTTCCAAACTTTTGGCCTGTAGTGTATGTCAAAGCCTGGTGCTACTCGTCGAGATTTTCTTCCTCTGAGACGTGACAAGGCCACTAAAGCTACAGAGGTTCGTCCAGTCCTGCAGAGCTACAATACTGCCACGCTGAACAGGACACAGAAAATAGTTAATGGTCTCTCACAGGGATGCCTCCAGGAAAATTATTGGACTGAAGAGCTTTTTACTGGTGCCTCGTGTGTGCAATCATTTAGATAAAGTGGGTCTGGCAGCACTGGAGCCTTTTTCACCGTGTTCATTTGGAGTCCATTCAAGAACTGTCACTGATTGCAGTCTCATGATGGACTGGGGGTTGGCTTTGGTCAGGGAGGACTGAATGAAAGGACTGTGGTAGATTTATTTCTCACATGCACGGCTTTCACCTTCTTGTTAAAATGTAAAGACCCTTTTATAGAGTCCCACACCGCTGACTGTGTCATGAGGAGGAATTGGGGTTTTGATTTCTTTCCAAAATTTAAACAGAAGAACAACAAAGACAAATAGCAGTTCACAATTTATTTACTGAATAAATTTGGACAAAACACCAGAATCTGTTACGATACAATCAGAACATCTGAGGCAGATATCCCACCATGCACCACCCCCCTCCATGAAACAAAAAGGACTAAACATTAGCACCAAATCAGCACCAACTTAAATAAAAGGTAGCTCAGTCTACAAAAACAATAAAAAGCAATAGTTGTTTTATTTAATGAAAAGCAACTCAGAAAAGTAGCAAAGTGAGAATTTTCATGGTTTTAACGTTTTCTTAAAAAACAAGCACCCAACCCTCCCACCCCTCCCTCCCCACCCTGCTAGGCAGGCTATAGCATTCATGGGGCACATGCCATTGACTAGATTAAAAACACAAATTCAAGTAACATTGAGATACGACAAAACATGTCCACTGGTACCCATTCCGAGTGTGATCGTTTCACAGAACCTACGCAGGCAGTAAAAAACTAACATGAGGTCCTGGTGTGAGCATGTCATAGCAATACTATCACTGAATATCTCATATCAAGTTTTGAAAAAGGAAACGAGGGAGACCGGGTGGCATGGGGCTTGTCGGGGCACCAGAATACTGGCACAAAAAGATATCGTGTATACTAAAACTTCAGACAGACATTTTCCTTTGTGCCTGTCCTGTGTCAGGATATTGCCTACATCATACATGAAAAAGGAATCTCTGAAAAAAGAAAAACCCTGCAATGTAGTTTTAAATATATATTTATTTATATATATTTTTTTAGATTTATATATATAGCTGTTACAATTTAAATAAATGTTACGTTCTCTTTCCTACAACCGAAGAGTGAATTTAAATAAGAGGAAGCTAATTTTTTAAAAGGTGGAATTGTCCATTCACCCAACACATCAAGTGCATGATGCCATGTTTGGAGGCTTACCAAGAAAAAAAAAACCAGTTTAATATTGAGGTGTAGGGAGTGATTTTAAAGCAGCAGTAAAAACAGAGTGGAATAGCTTAAACAAAGGAGGGTGGGGGGAAAAAAAAAAAGAGTGAAAAGAGACGAGAATGCAGAAACATACAAATTACTGAAAACAAGGCCGTCAAGGGGGTTTAGTGACGATGTCAGCATTATTACGAATAACAAAACAGACGAATGAGGACAAAATACAAAACAAAGACGAGGTCAACCATGTTGTTGATGATAATGAAAAGAAAAAAATGCCAAAGCTGCTCCGTTTGCCAACCACCAATCCCAGGTCAGGGATAATAACCACCTTGTATTTGTTCAACATAAGAACTTGTGGTTGTTATGTCTGACTGTGGGTCTGTGGTTTTCGAATTGTAAGCACCTCAAGCCGGGACAAAGTAAATCGAAGTAAGGTGTGGTGTTGCAGTTTGTCAGTTTTTTTGTTTTGAACTGTTCTCCTTAGTTTCCTGTTTTGCTAATGTCCCTTCATGCTTTCCATAGTGTCAAAAATGGTGAATGCATCTACCTTTGTGAGCACCACATTAAACCAAAACAGATCCAAAAAAAAAAAGAAAAAAGAACATTTTGCTACATTGTTTGCAACTTGCATGTCTGGCAACAACTTCCCAGACCGGGAGGTGCCTTGCCAGGTGACGTAGAGATGCCATTTGTCATGCCAGGCTCAAGGTTTTCCATGAAATGGTGGAAAAGGAAACAGGATGGAAACACCTTTATTATGAGTGACAAATGTTCACCTATTAATCTCTAAACTACTGTTTTTGGCTCTACTGTGAACGTGGCGAGCCGACCGTGGCAGAGTCGTCCGTTTGTGCTTGCTGTTTGCTCAGCTGAAGAACTGTTCCAGCTCTTCTTCCATGTTTACCTCAGGCACCATCTGCTCCTGCTCTCGTTCTCCTCTGCCGTGCGCCGCAGCTCCCCCTAGCGCCCCGGATGAGGCGAACCAGGGGTGCTCCAAAATCTCCCGAGAGGTGAGGCGCTCTGCGGGTTCCCGGCGGAGGATGGAGCGGATCAGGCACTTGGCCTTGGGTGTGAGTGTTTCAGGTATGTTGAAGTGGCCCCTGCGGATTTTACTGAACAGAGAGCCGGGCTCAACGTCATGGAAAGGGTAGCGCCCCACAAGGATTGTATAAAGCATTACGCCCAAGCTCCAGACATCAGCTGCCTTCCCCGAATAGCTGCCGTTGGCATTGAGGATCTCAGGGCTGACATACGCGGGGCAGCCATGTTTGTCTGACAGGGAGTCATCATGACCGTCCAGGATATAAGTGTCCTCAAGGCTCTCCAACTTTACAAGACTCCTGACAACACAGAAGAAAAGGGGACAGACACATTGAAAATGATGATACTGTTTTACAAAGCAGAGGACACAGAGAACCAAGGAAGATGGACATCATAGTTCTGATCTTTGGATGCCAACGGACAAAAAAACTCGATACACAAGACGCTTGAGTGGTGTAATTTGCTCTGAGGGACATCCTGAGTGTTTTAGATCCATCGCTTTCGGATATCAGAGGAAGTGGAGCACATAATGCTCTGAGCTTAAGTTTGACATTTCCTTTCACTGTGATAAAAGCACCAACTTGCAAAAAGCTTTTACAAAAGACCTCCACTGTTCAAAAGACACAACTAGGGGGCAGCTGATCGGCTGTTTTGCTCAAAAAGACTCAAGGACCTTTTGGATTTCTGTCTCCTGTTCTTTCCTGTCAAAAAAAAAAAAAACATCCATTCACTCTCTCCTCTGAACCCCAGCGATGTTGCTACGCTTGAGGAGCGATCATGATGCCTGGCAGCTGAGATGAATCGTCACAAAAGAATCTCGAGAGGCCTCAGGTAAGAGCGTTTTGTGCGTTCGTGGAAAAAGATGTGTGGTTGTGCAAACGCTGCCATCTGTGCGCGAGGACAATGAGACTTGATGTCGCAAACAAAAAGCCGGAGCACGTGATAGGATCTTTCAACTATGAATGACATATTTAAGAGCGCATGCACACACTTCCACATGAGCCAGCTATATGGGTCTTTGTTTAAATTTTTGATTTGCTTTCATTGATCAGAAGTAAAGCCTTTGTACATTTTGCAAAATCAGTAAGTTCTATTGTTTTCCAGAGCCAAATACCCATTGTTCCATTGGAAGATTAAATGCCATGTGTTTTTTTTTTTTTTACAAATAAAGTGTTTCAGGATCTGAGCATATTCGGAGCACATGTGCAAACATGCAATTACTCTTTAGAGGGCTTAGCAAAACAACAAAAAAAAGAGAGACTTAGCCCATTTTTATGAGGCACAAATCCCCAAATGTGTCATGAGTCTGGCGGTAGAAGAAAACAGGACCTGTTTCAGCAACTGTGGAAGTCAGGGAGCAAACAGATCCAAGAGAAGCCTGCTCAGGTTGAATATAAAGCCTAATCTTGTTTTTTTTCCCCTCCTGCTTGCAGACACAACAACTTTTTGTCTCAAACTTGGGCTCAGGCCAGATCAGATCCTTGTGTTTCATGTCTCTATTCAAACCTCGCCTCCAACTCCAACTCTGTTGCCAGGTGCGCTAAAAAAGACGTAAGGGGATTCTTGACGGATTGTATGGTCAGTGCAACCTCACACTGTCCTGCATGATCACTCTAAAAATTCACCCCGGCATCAATCATTTAATGGGAGTGGGTGGCTGGGCATCCCAGCAGACGCCTGGTGTAGCATTCAAGGTCGGTGAACTGGTACTGAATATGTGAGGCAGCTCAACTTCTCTTTTCCAAAGTAAGAGCCAAAGAATGACATCACGCTCAAAGATAGAGAGCTTTAAACTGTCAAGAGGTCTCTCTCTAAAGCTGCAGCGTGAGTGTTTGTTTTTTTAAAAAGTGCAGAAAATGTCTAGAGAATGAATATCTATCAATTAAAAAATTAACACATATCTTAATTGTTTAAAAAGTGCTCTGAGTTGCCAGGGGCATCAGGTGCCTGTATTTTAACGTAGTTACCCAATGATGCCACCAGGGGTCAGTAAACTTGCATTGCATAAATGTGAGTCTACAGATTTCCTATGCTGATCACTGCAGGAGTGCAGCCTGAGCAAAGCTTGCCTTAATCACGTAAGAAGCAGTCCTGGACTCTTCTGTGCCTGATTATGCTGAAAATACTGTAAACATGAGTCACATCCATATTTTAACCTCGTGCACAAAAAGAGAAACAGGGAGACACACGGGGTTCAGGTTTCCTACACTCTGCGTAACATCTGGGAGACGCATGTCAGTGCCTGTTGTCACTGATGCAAGCCGAGTTATAACACAGATGATAATGACTCAAACAAAATGCACAGATGAAACAGAAAATTAGCGGTAACATGCTCAGTGACTCTGTGGCTTTTGCAAAACTCACCTATCCTCGTTCTTGAAGACAAACTTCCTCAGTTTCAGATCACGGAGGACTAGTCCGTTGTCGTGGCAATGTGCCACAGCCGAGGCTATCTGATAGAAGAGTCTGGCTGCCTCGTCCTCCCGCAACTTCTTGCAGGTGCGGACGAATGAGTGCATGTCGCCATAGCTCCTCTCGAAGAACACATAGGCTCGCGTCTCCCCGAGCAAAATCTCCAGGATTTGGTTAATATGTTGGTGCTGACCCAGGGCGAAGTAGGCCGCCAGTGACTCCTGGTATCGGCCTATTTCGAACACCTGCAATCATAGGAGAACATTTGTTTTGATGGTGTGCATTTCAGGACAAACAACTATATTTAAACTCGGCTGTTTTGTAACTGTGCCACATTTTTTGTGCCACCAAAAATCAACCTTACTCAAGAGAAAACCAAAGCAGCAGTTAGTGAGGAGTACTGTATGGTAGCCCCAGGTTGCAGTGTCTCTTTTGTTTCCATAGTAACCACCCCCCAATTGACTTTCAGCAGAACCAGTTCAGGTGAGAGGGCTCCTCTGCTTGCAGTCAATATGAATACACCCCTCACTGTTACATAGACTCCCAGCTCGGCAGTAATCCACCAAAGAATGGCCGTAATGATCAGTCACGGAAGTGTTGATTGATTTGTGCTGTATTGAAAGTGGCACAAAGCAGATGAGGTCAAAAGGCAGTCTCTACAGGCAGAGCCAAAAGGCCATTAATTTGTTATTGCCATGACGAAACATTATCCGGAGTCAAAAGGTACTGGTTATTGGATATGTCATGTCTTATAAGCCCAGTGGTACATGTAACTATCCTCTCAATTCACACAGCCACTTAAGCCTGCTTACAGCTGGAATGTACCTCAGGGACGACCCCACTGGCCTTATAATCCACCATATAGGAAAGTCAATATGGCCTATAAATGAGGTGAGTGAAGGTTATGTGTTCTAGGTTTTAGACTTTTAGGGAGAAGTGGTGTCATTTTTATGGTGAGTGGGGTCAGAGCCGGTGCCAATGTCACAGCTGGTTAAACTTGTGCAATTCCCTCGGCCCCACTGTGTGCTCCTTTTTTCACACAACTGCTATCGAAAAACAGCTGTCCTGAAATGTGCAAAAAATGATTCTCTTTTTTTTTTTTTGCACCATATTGACAACCACGAGTGAAATAATACTGTTAAAAAGGCACATGCAAGGAAAGCGAGAAGCCACGGGTAAGCGAGAATAGCACAATGTGTGTGCGTGGTTACTCACTCCTTTGTCAGCGTTACATCATGCAATCCAAACCACGCAGCTCGCCCCATTCACTTTTTCCATTAGGCTGCTGTGCCAGCTCTCTATTTACAATTCAAACAATTATTCAAAAGCGGGGAGCTGTGGACTCCCTGCAAAAGCCAAGCTTAAAGAAACCAACGATTTAAGTATCCCTTGTGCGTAAAAGCGTTGGATTTAGTGCGTAAAACGTTGGATTTTGTGCGTAAAAGCATCAAGTGTTATGTATTAATTCAAGCAAATATTCAAAAGCAAAAAAAACCCCAAAGATTTAAGTATCCATGTGCGTAAAAGCATTGGATTTAGTGCGTAAAAGCTTTGGATTTCGTGCGTAAAAGCATCAAGTGTTATGTATCAATGAAAGGAAAGGTTCAGAGTGTGTAGGAACATTGCACTCTCTTGTAAATGCTGCTTTTGGTGTACATCAAATAAGTACAGAGGCTATTGTGGGAGCACGAAGGTAGGTTTGATCGATCACGCTGCCTACTCACCTTACATACGAGCTCTTCCCCGCTGTGCAGGTGGGCGGCTCTGAAAACGTGGTCTCCCTCCAGTGGTTCCAACAAAAGGTAGTCCCCGATGCGGGAGATACAGTGAGAGGAGTCCGGGGTCTCCGGCGGGCTGGGGGACCCGAGGTTTGGACTGAAACTCTGATGCGACTCTGTAGTCCTCAAACAAGATAATTCTTCAAAATCGTGTGATTTGTGCCGTGATCTCCCATAACGTGAAATGTTAATAGGATTTGACCTCTGTATGTTCATGAGGAATAAGTGAGATAACTCCACAAAAGCTCGGTCTTCTCCTCCTCTTCGATAAGGGCACCACAGTGCAAAATCACAGGTTGTCAAATAACCTTAATTGAGTTTTAAATCGATGGGAATCAACAAGCAAATCGGCCTCAAATGGAGGTCTGTAATTTTCTCTTTGCAGAGTTCAGCTGTACATTTGACCCCCTTTGTTTTCCATTCAGGAGATAAGGTCGGGTTAAATTGAGAGATTTACTGCCCCACGTCGACTGAAAACCTTTCGCACAGACTCGCTGCAATCTCATTAACGTCGGTGGTGCGTTCAAGTGCAACAAAACTGGAACAAATGCTACAAAAAAGTCCGATTTTTACAATGAATGGAGAGTGCTAGTTATCCCGCAGCTGTGTGCTAGCTTATCTTGCCGGTTTTTAAGTATGGCACGTTTCATTAAATGGAAACAAATTGTCGGATTCAGCTTGCAGGCACGGAAAGCTCAAAGTTATGTAAATAAAGCGAGTTAATTTCGCCAAAATATCTCGGACAAATGATGGCTAGCAGGTGCAGAGCTAACTAGTTAGCATCATTGGCTAACTATAACCAGGTCAGTGCACGGCCTTGTTCCCCAGGATCATATCCATGCACGGTGATTGTCATCTACCACAGGAGCAGAAACCCCCATCCGGAAAGACTGCTGTGGCTCTTTGTATGCGGGAGTCGACGTCTTCTCTCTTTCTGTCCAAATAAGGAGGAAAAGTGTCCGTCAGTGTCGTTATGTCTGCTGCTGCTGGAAGAGAAAGGAAAGGAAAAGGGACGGCCGGCCGACTTTCCCAGGCCTATCCCCTTGATTCAGCAGGACATCCTCTCTCCCGTGGTGCCGCTGTGCTTCTTACGTGGCTGGGAATCTAGTCCATTCAGTGCGCGGAGAGGGAGGGAGGGAGGCCAGCCCGAGCTGCGAGCTGCACACGCTGCTGCTGCTGCACACACTGCGCCTGTACAGACGGAGCAGAGCGCGAGAGGAGCAGGCGAGCTGAGGGGGAGCTTTCTGTATGCGCACGAGCACACACACACACGCACACACATACAAACTCACAGACACATACATACAAAAGGGAGGCATACCGCCCCGCCCCCTGACGTCACTCCCAGCTCGAAACCCCATTGGTTCCCACCTCCAAGAGTTCTAATATGCAGCGCAGTCATGTGAGAACCATGTTGTGCAGCTACACCCCCAGGAATCTAAATGCGCCGCACGCTGGTAAATTAGATGGGGAAAGGAGGGAGGAGGGGGGAGCGAGAGTATAGCTACTGTACGTGCTGTGTTACAAATGTGTTTCCTCCTGAAATGTCATTCAAGGGAAAGTGAGGGGGATCCCTTTTCTCTCAATAGCAGATGTTCACCATCCAGCACAGTCATACAGCAGTCCTAATCATTGCAGAAACAAATGTGAGGGGGGCATTGCGTATTTTCAGGGGGGCAAACTCATTTAAACCTATATTTTATCTGCTTTAGGCTTAACAGCAGCTCCTTGGCCACTCCTACAGTACTGACATGTTATTTTCTGTCAGTAATAAAAGGCATTTAAACAACTAAGAACAAGTTAGTATAGCTATTAGCTACGACTTTATTCTCTTAAGTAATTCCGAGGTCTTCCGAGGTTTCTTTTCTTAATGTGCGATGACGTTGCACAGAAACCCGTCTATAGAAATAAAACAAACAAAATACAGAAGTGACTGTCGTGCTGTGTTCATTTATTAAGTCAATAAAACAGAGGCCAGGGGCATTCATAGAACAGTGCCACACAGCTCCACTTTTCGGAAGCTAAGCATTGAAGCTAACAGTCACACCAGAGTAAACATTCATGCTAGCGGACTGTTGGCTTCAGTGCTTAGCTTCCTAAAAGTGGAGCCGTGTGGCGCTGCCGCTGCTTCCTGCCGTTAGTGACTGTCGTCCTTTTTTAGCGAACAAAAAAACCTCTTATATCCATTTTTAATAGAATGCCGATGCTTACCGCTGAGTCCACCCTCCGCTACGCCGAGTCCGTCTATGAACATTTGACCTTTGACTTGATAAGCGGGCCGCCCCCCTTTACTTGTAATTGGCTAATATGTTGCCTTCGATCAATTGGATTGGTTGGATTGAAATGCTCTTCCTTGAACTGCATCCCCCTGCTGTAGTCTGTCATGGACTGACCTGAGGTCTCGCTACAAACAAGTCGCCGCTGGAAGAGAGTAGGTGAGTTGTGTCTCTTTGCAAAAGAAATTAGACAAAGCGAAAAAATTGTTTGGTGGCTAGTACTATGGCTGGGATGTACTGTTGATGAAGTTAGGTGCTGTTCTGAGCATTATTTGTGGCGTTTTTGTTGAGGTTTGTTTATTGCTCCTCAGACCGCTGTGTATTGCTATCCCGCCATCTTTACTAAAGTTAGTATAACTAGAGAAGCAAGCAGTCGGCAACATTCATCTCTCAAGGGGGTGCCTAACTCGGTGTTACCGTGTGTTTGACCCTAAATTAATTTTACGCCGGAATATCCCTTTAATACATTTTATCATGAAAACATGTCAAACAACATTTCTTTTCATGCCTGCAAAATTCACAATGAAAACAGAAATGTTTGCCTCAATAATGGATAAAACAAATTCACATCAAATGCAGAATTCTGGGAGCATCATTGACACAAAAAGGAATCAAATGAGAGATTTAAAGGGGGAAAGGGTTTTAGCCAGAGTGCAATGACATTGATCGGTGTGAAGGCTCGCCCTTGAGAAAACTGCTTGTGTGCATGTTTCAAATGTGAAAGGTAGGCCTATTATTTTTGCTTTGATATGGGATCATGTATCAGATTTTTTGTGCCAAGCATGAAAAAAAGAAAACAGATCTTTGAGCATAGACTTGATTAAAAGCTGGCACAGGGCTGTGTGCTCCTCTTGTAACAAATTCTTGTCTTGCAGAGTTGTGCTCCTGTGATACATTACAAAGCGGAGGATGTAGGAGGTTCATTATTCATTGTTCTTCCTAGATTACCAGGGGGTGTGACGGCAGGGTTGTGCAATTCCATGTAGGAATGGCGGGGCGGTGAGAGGAATGCTCGCAGCTGGACTGAAGACACTGACAGAAGTGTTCGATTTAACCTTTATTGGCCGGGCTCGCAGGCAGTAGCGGCACACACAGGCATACACAAACACGCACTATTCTAAAGCTTCGTTTCTCACAGCAGCGTGCCTGCCTGAGTGAGCCCCCGCAACATGGAAATGCGTTTCTCACATAGAGGCCTCTCATCTCGGAGATGGTGGTTTGCAGATGCAGAATGTGGTTGTACCCACAAGCTTATACTCTGCAGTCCTGGAGCTTATGTGCATGTATGTTTCTGTGATACAACACCCACGTTAGTTTTAGCTCTCATGCTGGAAAGTTTTTCACTTTACAGTTTAAAACGATGGAAATGTTGCAGGTAACTCGGACGTATTAATAACTCTATTGTCAGCTGCGTTTGATGTCCTTACATTTCTGCATTCTCTGCCCACCGCGCTAACCTTGGATGGGGATTCTGTTAAGCCTAAACCACAGCTGTGCATGAATCAGAATAATAATCCCTGAAGATTCCATTTTGCCCCCATTCCCTGACAAACGATGTGACTCATTCGCAGTGGAGAGCAGCACTCGAGAAAATCCATTGAGGCTCATCAGTTCTCCAGACACGCCCACATGCCGAGGAGCAACGGCAGGCCGTCCCAGCAGTGCCTTCCAGCGAAAGCTCATGACTCTGTATGTGTACGTCTGAGTATGTGTGTGTCTATGTGTGTCGGTGCCACTGGAGCAAGATGTGTCCTGGAAGACTACAGAGGTCAACGAGGACGGATGAGTGTCTGTGACTCCCCCTGAGCAGTGTTATGATGTTACCAGCTTCCTAATAGGCTGCTTTGCCCCGCAGAAAATGATCTAAGGTCAGTTTCTCCTGTGATGTTGATGTTACAGGAAGGCCTTAGGGTTGACATCCACTAGAAGAATGTGTTTTCAAATGAAACTCATTACACTGCACCATGAAACCCATTCAAATGAGATGTATTTTCCCCACATTATACATGCAGAAAACAGCCAATTTCCCAGCGTCACATAGCAACGCGGCTACAGCCAGCTCATGTTGACACCGGCGAGAATCAGCACTGTCACATCCACACCCTGCGGGTAACTTCCACTGAGAAACTCGATCATATGCGAGGAGATAGATGCAGAGGCACATAGGAATGAGATCATTGAGCGGGAGTGAGAGGAGAGGATGTGTGGGAGAGAGAGAGAGCGAGGAGGACAGAGGAGGGAAAAAGCAGGCAGCAGGAGAACGTGACGAGTGGTAGAAAAAGTAAAAGATGAAGAAGAGAAAAAAGTGACAGAAAGTGATGTTTCTCCAAAACAGATACCAGGATTGTTGCGAATACTTGAGAGCTGAAGACGCAATATTGAAGTAAGAGTGCTTCACTGGACAGTTACTACAAAAACTCAAACTCCACTCTGACATCAGTGTGATACTGGATATATTCTGAACCTTATTTTGGCTGCAGACTTGCTTTCAGAGAGCCTGTAGTTTTATTTTTATACTTACAGTTGAGATTTTCTCAAAGTCCCCTGATCCTCATCCCTTTTTTACGACCCTTGGTGAACATGTTGGTACAGGGTAACAGCTGCAATACCCCTCAATTTCAAGTCAGTGGAAAAAAACAAGTTATTTTGGGGATGGGTACATGTGCCACATTCTGCTCTGCATGGCGCTTTGGGACCGAAGGCCTGTGTTTAACCGAGAGCGCTGTGGAGGGATAGAGCTGCGGATTATGAGGACAGAGAGGAAGAGAAAGGAGGATAATGTTTCACTGATAATGTGTTGACGCTCATATTTCTTCCCATTCTTCCTGTCAGTGTAGAGCCGGAGCTGCTTGTCACAGAACAATAGCAATCATAAAAAAGAAGTGCAATTACAAGTGCGAGCTTGTTTTTAATATGCATTTGTAATTAGAGCTGCCCTTTTAAATGACATGTTAGACAAAAGGAAAGCTCCCATTTGTAATCGTCAGATTGCACTGTTATTTTTCTTATCCTAGGAGGTTTAAAGTACCATTTGTAATAAGGATGCATTCACTATCCTAGTAGAGTCGAGACAATATGACATTTTTAGCTTTATAAATAATCTTTGCTTGATTTCACGAGTGTTTTTCTGTGAGTGTTAAGACCTAAAATGTCTGAGGAAGTGCCATGAAGTGCAGTTCCCTAAATGTCCAATAGAGGCTGGGTGCAAACAGCAAAATCATACGTATATATCTGGTTAAAAATTGGTTATTTGTGTCTAATTTGGCCATTTATACAGAAACTGATTGTATCAGGGCTACAGGAGCACAGCTAAGTAATAAAAAAAACCTGCTTCAACTTCACCTCCTTCCCATGTTTACCTTGATCGAAAGTGTTAGATTGAGTCAGCATTCAGTGTTCAATACAAGCATTGCACTTGTATTGAACCGCTGGTAGGGGATCATTATTGTACCGTACAAACACTCTTTGAGATTAAAACTTTGGTTCAGGATGGTCGACAGAGAAAAACCTGGAGAGAGCTGAATGGACTGCTAACATTTTTCAGCACTCATACATACATGACTCAAAGAGGACAACAATGGATTCAAGGATTTACTGAACAAGCTTTAAAATAACAAAAGCTTTTCTCTAGATATTTTAGATACAGTTTCAACTAATGTTGTATATGACACTGCAAGTTTGGTGACAAACACACCTACATGTACACACAGGAACGGGGGTGATTGATCTGTGCTGATTGGACAAGATTGCAAGGTCAAGCAAATAGCACAGGGATTGGTTGGATTTGTATGAATGGTTAAAAGGGATTGACACACAGTAAATCCATGCACATAGAGAGCGTCTGAATCATTTATCCCCACAGATGGTCAAATGTCGAGGGATTCCATAACATTATTTCAACTCTTCCAATTGTAGAGAGAAGAGAAATGACGCACATTGACCTAAATGGATTAGGACAACAGGCAAAGCCGAAAAAATGTTCCATTATGTATGATTTGGCTTTGGCCC